CAGCCAGTCTGTAAGAGCTTTTAACCACCGTGCCATCTCTCCAGGCTACAAAAGGAGAGTTTTGTGTTTTTAGCTTTTCTTCAAGAATCTTGTATCTCATAACAGATATCTGTGCTCTTTTCCAGCAATACATTGATTTGGATTTTCCCCTTAGTGTCATTCTGTTTTTATACCAGTTAGCTTTATTAAGTTCAATTAACTCATGCTTTCTTGGTTTGTTCTGTGACAGCAATGTCTTTATTATTCTAAGACCATCTGCCCTGTTAATCGCGTGATTATTATCATAAAGAAAAGCCTAGCAGATTGTGTATGGTATCGGTGTTATCTTGATGTTTTTATCATCATCATAATAGTGAAGAAAATGAGGGAGGAAACAAAAAGCATGTTGTCAGCAGAAGAAAATGAGCCCATCTCTTCTCAATTAAATACCAGTTTGTTTCCAGGAGTCCCACACAACATTCTGTTAATGATACAGCAATTTCCCTGTTAGGCTGGCTTTCTGAATTTTTTATCGCATAAAACAGTCAACTTGGAGCACACCTGTCATAGATGAAGCTTTGTATCTTGATGTAATTGTTAGTTGCATTGTATATTTTCCTGGCTTCAGATGTGTTCATTGTTCTTGCAGCTGTTTCCTTGCTCAACTGTTCCTCCCACCCCAGACAGTAAGTGCAAGAAATGAGGTGGTGTGTCTCAGAACCTATAGTTAATACACAGGCATCCATTGCTACTACATATTGAATATGTGCAGCTTTGAATGGAGTCTCTGTAAAATGCAAATTTTGTTTTTGAAATAGCCCATTTGGCAGCCCCAACTAAAAATATAGTTTACTTATAAATTAAAATATTGGAAATCTGGGGGCTTTTTCCCTAAAAAATGAAGACCCTAGTACATAAGATAGATGAATGAAGAATGCAAGCGTGCTTGCTATTGTATAAGTTTTAATATCTGCATGTCTTTATGCTTTTTTGTCTTGTGATGTCAGCTATTTATTCTTCCAGCTAGACAGGAGTATCTTAAATTGAAGATTGAATAACAAACAGGAGTGTTTCAAAGGTGAGTGACACCCTTTGTCTCCAAAATCAAAAATAGAATCACTGAAGGACAAGAGAAAGGGATTTCCCCTCAGAAGCCTGAGGAGATGAACACCCTTTGTCTCCAAAATCAAAAATAGAATCACTGAAGGACAAGAGAATGTGATTTCCCCTCACATGCCTGAGGAGATGTTAATGGTCCTTTAAAGGAGTTTTTAGGTGAAGGCATTATAATTGCCGATAATTTTTAATAGCTTTTTAACAGTTGAACATTTCTTTTTCTATTGAAAATAGATTTTTTCATACAATATATTCTGATTATTATTTCCCCTCCCCCAACCCCTTCCAGATCTATCTTGACTCAACCCTCTACCCACTCAAATCCACACCTTTTATTTTCTCTGATTAGAATATAAACAGGTATCTAAAAATGATGATAAAATGCTAGAATGTGACAAAGCAAAGAAACTACTAGGAGATAAACAGCCAAACCCAAAGCGTGCGCACGCGCGCGCGCGCGCACACACACACACACACACACACACACACACACACACACACACAAATACACACACACACATATATTCATACAGGTGAAATCTCATAAAAACCAATACTGGAAACTATAATATATACACATAGAGTACTACATTTTCTCCATCCATTCTTCAGTTGTGGGGCATCTAGGTTGCTTCCAGTTTCTGGCTATTACAAACAATGCTGTTATGAACATGGTTGAACAGATGTCCTTGTTGTATGAATGTGCATCTTTTGTGTAGATGCCCAAGAGTGGAATTGCTGGATCTTGTGGTAGACTGATTCCCATTTTCCTGAGGAACCACCATACTGATTTCCAAAGTGGCTGTATGAGTTGGCACTCCCACCAGCAGTGGAGGAGTGAGCCCCTTTCTCCACATACTCTCCAGCATAAACTGTTGTTGGTGTTTTTTATTTTAGCCATTCTGACAGGAGTAAGATGGTATCTCAGAGTTGTTTTGATTTACATTTCCCTGATGGTTAAGGGTGTTGAGCACTTTCTTATGTGTCTTTCAGCCATTTTAGATTCCTCTATTAGTTCTGTACCCACTTTTTAATTGGATTATTTGGTGTTTTGGAGACTAGCTACTTGAGTTCTTTGTATATTTTGGAAATCAGCCCTCTGTCAGATGTGGGGTTGGTGAATATCTTTTCCCATTCTGTGGGCTGCCTTTTCCTTGCTGACTTTGTTCTCTGCCTTACACAAGCTTCTCAGTTTCAGGCTTTATCATTTATCAACTGTTG